CTATCTTCCTTTTAAATTACTACCATGCAATGCATTAAAATTTCTGAGATGAAAGAAATGAACACACGCTATACTTATAGTATTAAAATCAGCTTATTTGTTTCATGCCCTATGTTCACTCTGATCTATTATTAGTGGCTGCCAGCAACAATCTTTAAAGCTTGACAATATAATTTAACACAACTGTTGAATTTCTACTTGGCAAAAGTGTGGGCCACTGCTGGTTCCCTATAAAGTTTGTAAAATGTTGACATTAGATAAGCCTATAGTGCTTTCAACATGTGCTCCTAGCTCCCTTTTCATTCTCTATTTTAGTACTTAAGATACAAGAAAAAGAGGAAGAAAAAAGGGGAAAGAAAGTGATTTTAAAACATGAGAAAGGGTAAATCCCTGTCAGCTTTATTCTCTAACCATCCATTCAATTAAACTCTTAGATATCTGTATTTGTGGCAAATGTGAGCTGTGATTCAAATACTTATTGTGGAAATGATCCTTATCTTTCCAATCAATATTCTATGTTCTTAAGAGAAGCCAGTTTTAAAAAGATGAGTGATGTTTCCAAAGGAGGAGGGAGACATCCTAACCTCTGTAAAACAGCCTTGTCTCTACTGAAAGTCTCACCTCACCCAAAGCACCAGCGGCCTCACATTGCCCTTCCTTGAGAGGCTGTGAAGAGAATGGGCAGCTTGGGGCAGCAATTGTAACTTGGAGAATGGGAGTTGAACCTGAGTCAACCTATTCTTAAGAGGGACTTCACCTTTTTGAGTTCATGTCTACTCAGATTACAAATACTAATCTTTGGATCTGACGTGTATAAACAACATGAAGTTGAAAACAAGATAAACGATGCAGGCATGTCAGAAGGAGCAGAGAAGCAGGCTTAAGCAAAAAGTCCGTAAGAATACAATAACCTCTGCAGTCACCTTCTTTGTGATGAACAGACAGTGATGTGCATAAGCCAAGAGGGAAAGGAGAAGCTGGATTTTAATAAGGAAGCCGACATATTTCATTGGAGCTCACCCAGTTTGTTCCTCAGGTGTGGTAAATCATGTATCCCCACAGATCCCAGCTGCATGAACAAGTGACTCATAAAATCAGTGACATCCTACGGAGAGTTTATATTGGTAAACTGAGTCATGTTAAAATGAAACATCAGGAAAGCAAAATTGGCATGAATTAAATGCTATTCCTCTGATACTTTCCCTCATTTGAAACACTAATAGGATGAAATTCTGAGCTTCATATACTGAATCTTGTACACTTACCTCAAAAATAATTCTGTGACTGCAAAAGGCACAGCAAAAAATGGGGACACAAGTGCTAAATCCTTCATTTTGGAAACTACTAACATGTCTGGCTGTTGTTACAAGCTGAAAACTGACAAACAACTAACATACAAAACTGGCAGTTAAGTCCTCTGATAAGTGTTTTTCAAAATGTTGGTTTTAAGGAGCAGCTTTAGAAACACCTATGGTAGGTGTTGTTCTTTAGTTTATAATTGTATTAATATTGAAGGACATGAAAGGAGGCTTCAATTAGAAATCATTTTGATGCATCTCATTATCATCTAATAAATTTTTAGCTGTAACAAGTCTAGTTTCCTTGCCGTGTATTTTTTCCAGTCTTTTAGAACCTTAATCTTAACAGTCAGTTCTTCTTCTACTGCTTTGTGTTCCACTCAGTTTTTTGTTTTGTTTTCACTGCCTCAGAAAAAGTGAAATAAGAAAACAGTAAAAGGTTAAGAGGTCTATTCAACTAAAAGGCATTCTTCAGAGTTATTTGTGCCACATGACTTCCTTCCTCTGGGCAATTTGGTAGGGAATTTGAGATGCTGTTCAGACAAGCTTTACACATGCTTACCATAAAAAAATAATAAACCAAGTACATAAAAGCATAAGGGGAAAAAATCACTTAGCCACTTATCACATAAAGTCAGACATCATTATTTTTATATTCTGCTTGATTTTGTTGCATTGTGCTTTTCTATAGGGCATTGTTTGTTTTTAATACACAGATTTTTAAAGAGGTACAAATTTGCCAGGGTGCTAAGTATAACGGAATGGTAAACACTACTAAAATCTGGTCTTAGAAACTGGCCCGCAGACAATATTATCATTAATTTTGGCTGCAGTCTTTTGAAAGAAAGCCTCCAAGAAGTTTCCAAGCAGCCATAGTCCTAATTACTCCTAAAGTTTTATATAATGGTGTTCCAAATGCTTTGGAACTTGCCTAGATGGATGCTAAATGCATCTATTTGTAATCAGTATAAAGTGTTCAGATATCAGAATTCCTAGAGCGGCTGAAAAGAAAAAAGCTTTTAAGGATATATACCCAGTACTGCCTGCCTGACTTCAGCTACGCAAAAACATGTGTTAAAATTTATTTCCTTCTAAGCTCTATCTTGCTAGAAATCACATGCAAAAAATATAATGTATTCCCATTTGAGCCCTAATTTTACAAGCAATTGAAACCAAATAGAAAAAGTTTAGGAATCTCAAATCATGAAAAATGCTCATCTTTTAGATGAGGCCTAAATAGAGAATTAAGTAGATCAAGTCCTTAGGAACAGGAAAGTATCATAATGGACTCAAAGTTGGAACATAAAGAATAATAAGGAAGCAGTACGTGCCTGCTGGGTTGCGGGATATTAAGGGGAAGAGAAGTACAGTGTAAGTACTAATGGAAGAATCTGCAAGAACCACCTATGCCACAGACTCTGGGTGGCATGTCATGTACAAAGTCTGACCGATGCACATCTGGAGAAGGTAAGGGGAGGCAGTGGTGTGATCTGCGATGAGCCAATGGAGAGATCTGGAAACTCCATTCATCTATGGCGTAACAACAGGTAGGGTAATGATGACTGGTGTATACTACAACTTCAGGTATCTTTGCAATGGCTTGGGCTGAGCAGATCCAGTTTGCATAAGACACTTTGAAATTAAATAGCAAACACAATTTAATTTTTGATAATTCCTTATTTTAAAAAATAAAGATAGCAAGTCTGTAGGAAAAATTTTCCTGTGTGTCAGTCATTAAAAAGATTTTATTACTTTGAAAAATGTATCTGGAATTATTGCTTATGTTAGGAGCTATGTTAAAAACAATTATGCTCTATTTTTCTCTGCTTATTAAAATTATAATCTTTATTATAAGGCCAAAATACTATCCAAAAGTCTTTATTTTTTTCCACAAGAAAAAAATGATAATGGTGGTTCTGTTGAATGGTAACTTTATAAAATTATTTTTAAAAAGTAACAGTCAAGGAGGAATGCTCTTCCTGTTATTCCCAATAAAGCGTAAAATTAGTCCCATGTCATCCAGAAGCACATGTTTAGACACGGTTCCAACCTACGAAATCACTGACGGCCTATTTCCATATATGTTCTCTCTTTTCCAATTATGAGTGAGAATACTTCTAACTTCATTTGGCTTTAAAATTCAGCTTCCTTTTGACCTAATGCCTTGTGCTGCAAGGCTATGGTAAAACACTGTACCAAATATTCGTACACTGCTATGAAAAGAAATGCAAAGAAGATCTCCAATTCTTCATAGATATTGTGTGTCCCTGAGGACAAAATATTGAGGGAAACTGCCCTTGTCTACTTCTAACTATTATATCTCTGGTAATTAAATGGTGATTTTAGAAGTTTCTGCACCAGTTTCTCCAATTCTTCTGTACTGAATAAGAAGTCTTCTAAAGCAAGAGGATAAATTACTTACAAATCTATTTACATACTACTAGTAGGCTCTTCCTACTTAGTAATTTATTCACCTTATTTCTGAACTGCTTTCTACGTCATCTATTTTTATTTTTTGAATAATGTTAACTAAGTACCTATTGTGTGTCCATAAAGATACAGAGGAAGAGGAAGAATAAGATGATAATAAAGAGCATAAATTATGTATGTGGTAGGGTATATCACAAAAATTCAATCCTTTTTCCCCATGGAAATAGAGAGTAAATCCAGGGAACAATGCACTTCTTGTCCAGCCCTTTTTATTCTGAGACAGGGTCTCATTACCCTACCCAGCCTACTCTTGAACTTGTGATCCTCCTGCCTCAGGCTCAAGATGCACGGTATGTAATGCTGTTTTGTCCTCTGTGATCCTTACCATGGTCATTCTCTACTTTCCCACAAGTACTTAAAAATAGCCAACTCATCAGATGCTCCAAAGTCCATAAACTTTGCCCCATAAAAAAGTGTATCAATACTCTGAGTGTACAATGATAAACAGTTAGTTTAAGACTTACAAATTCAATTGCACTTGAACCATTTAATACTTAGGTTACAAGAAAAGTCCCAATTCTTTCAGAAGAACATATGGGAAAGATTGCACTTTGTGCTGAATTCCTTTAGGTCACAACATATCTGCAACTTGAAGCAGTGTGTCTGTACAGAAAAATGGACAACAGTCTGCCCTAGTGAAAGAAGGTAAAACACAATCTAAATCACCTGGGCTAGTTTTTACTTTAATCATTCCAATGAGTAGAGTAACTCCCATGCTTTGTACTGTTATTTAGCCCTGAAAGTTACTCACATTAACAAATCTAATACTTTGTACTACTTTCAAAGAGTCACTGCTCTCAATTTTCAGAACCAACAAGCAAGGTAGAGCAACAAGTCGAAAAACAAGGTAAGAAAGACAGCATATACTCTAAGAATACAAAATTTATAACCTCTTTATGTTTCTTACAAACTCACTAGAAGTTCAAGTGAGTAAGGCAACATTTAGAAATGAAAGTGTAGAAATAAAGTTAAGTCACAGTTATAAAATCTAAATGTATATATAATGGTTTGGACATATTCAAACAAAGAATTGGTTTCTTTTTTAAATCTGAGATCATAATTTTCAATAAAGTGAAAACATTACATGAACTTCTCTTGGAGAAAGTGATACCTCAATTTGGATAACCCTCTTGATCTAAAATTAAAATTCTAAGGGCTCCTGGCAGAAGAGATTTCAGACATTAGATCAAATCAATGGAAATTTAAACTAACCTTAAAGAAGGCAAACCACTTGTAGTCATTCAACACAATTTCAAAGCCCTGGTTATAAATAATGGTGAAATACCCAGAATTGCCAAAGTCATCATAAGCTGTATCCATCTTCTTGAGGTGCACCACTACTTTTTTTTCTGGTGGACCTAAAGAAGAGAAAATGTATAAACAACAAAGGACAGTTATTTAAATTACAGTGGAGGTGGTGAAAACTCTTTGACAATTTCCAGTATTTGACTAAGCAGCTTTTCTTTACGCAACTCCAGTTTGGGCCTTCTGTTTGGTTTATGAAATCAGTCTTACTGCCTATGTACAACCCGAGAAATGGCTTGCAGTCTGGGGGAAAAAATTCACTTAAGAAATAAGCAATGAGTGATGCTCCTATACGCAGAAATAGAAGACAAAGTGATGGTCAAAAAGTGAAACATAAAAGGTCTGACAAATAGTCACATGTGAACTCATGAAGACAGAGTGTAAAGCCCAGAAGACAGGAAATGATCAATTCAGAGACGAAATGAAGTATCTTTCTTTCCAACAGCTCTAGACATGAGAAGCTCAGAATATGAACATTTCACACTCATCAAACTTGAAGTTTCTAACCTTAAAGCTAGTGTATGCTGACAGGAATTATAAGTTTCACTTTCAAATGAGGGCTTAGATCTGTGGATGTCTTTACTATTTTAAGGTCAGAGGTAGGTTTGCAGGCAAGGGTGCCTGCACAGGTTTTAGATTTGTACTGCTAGTGACCTTCACCCTTTAGATAGTCTTTCCTTCTTTCAGATTAATATTTTGAATGGAGATTACACACAACAGGGCAGTGGAAATCCTGAATTCCCTTCTGCCCATCTCTGCTCAGTTCACAATGTGAAAATGGTATACAATGTTCAAGATTAAGAAGAGTCTGCAGTCATCTTTAAATAGTTCTTTTTTAAAAACCAGATTACTTGACAACTGCTCTGTTGATGAGAAAAATTATAGTTCAGAGCTTCACTCTCTCTCTGTGCAGCTCTCAGGCGGCAAGGTTCTGGGCAGACCCAAAGTCTCCTGACCCCTGGCTGTTTTTCTCACCTTCTTTATTTAGCTTTTGTCCCAGGGGCCTTGGAGCTGCTGAGTGCCCGCCTATCTGTTCACGTGCTAAGATATCTGACAGCCTCCCATGAGCCTCCCTTGCATTTGGCTCAGTGGACTCCTAAGTGTAATTATTGGATAAACACTTTAAAAAGAAAAAAAAGAGAGAGAGAAAAAGTTTTTTCTATACCCTTTCAATACTCAAAATCCAGCATGGTGGTAGGAGAAAATTTCTTGGCCTAGGAGCAAATCATCACACTTGCAAATCGAAATCACCTGGTTTAAAAATCCTTTCCTATCAAGTTACAAAGGGTTACATTAAAACAAACCAAAAAACAAAACTTGCTATGTCCCAGTCTTTGAGCTCATTCCTCTTCATCAATAGAACTTAGAAAAACCTTCCAGAGTGGACCAGGGAATCAAAAAAGTTTGCAGTACTCAACTCTCTCCTAAACCAAGGCAACTGAGGGGGTAGGGGAAAAAAAACAGAGATTAAAAACTTCTTCAAAAAAGAAGAGTGAAGCGCTCAAGCTCATGAAGACTGTGGAGTTCGAAGTTGCAGCAGCTCGTTTCCCTCGGCGGCCCGGCCCGGTAGACAGAAGGGCCGGGAATGCAGCCAAGGTTTCCTGGCCAAGCACATGCGTCGGCCAGGGCCGGAGGTCGGGGCAGAAGCGGGAGCCGGCGCAGGCGAGGATGCGGAGCGAGCGGGCGCCGGCGGGCGCTTACCCAGAGCCGAGCAGTTGACGTCGCTCCGGGCGCCGCCCGCGCCCACCTGGAAGACCCAGGTGCCCAGCAGGTCCGGGTAGGTGCAGTTGGCCGGGGTGTCGGCGCGCGCGCCGCCGAGCCCGGCCAGCAGCAGCAGCAGGAGGGCGGCGAGCAGCGAGCGGGGCCGGGGACCCATGCCGGCGCGCTGGCTCGGGGAAGGCCGACCGGAGAGAGCTGGGGGAAGGCCGGAGAGCGCTCGGGGACCGGGAGCCGGACCGCGGCTGCAGCCCTGAAATAGCCCGCAAGCCCGGAAACCGGCCGGGGCGGGGCCGCGGCCGCTGGAGACGCGCTCAGGAGGCCCCGCCCTCAGGTGCGGCGGGAGCGCGCGCGCTGCTCCCCGCGGTGGCGCGGCCCGCGCGGCGCGGAAAGGTGGCGCGGACGCTGCTGCAAAGGGACTTCCAGAGTTTGGCACAGCCTGGGTGTCTAAAACAGGGTCTGGTCGGGGAAGGGTACCAAAGGTGAGAAAAAGGGAGAGAGGGAGACATCTACTAAGTGGAGTTTTTTTGCTTGCTTTTCTTTTCTGTTCTAAAATCCAGTTGCCTCATTTGTGCCCCTGGCTCACACAAAACGTTTGCTAATTTCAAACCCTCACTTCCCTTTTTTTTTTTTTTTTTTTTTTTTTTTTTTTTCCAACTGTCACTACTTGGTTTTTTGTTTTTGTTTTTTGACTCGGTTTCCAGTGAATGAATGCCTTTTTGCCAACAGGAGAACTCAGTTGTAGTGCACTCCCCATTAACTTTACGGAATTTGGTTACACAAGAAGGGGAAAACAAGTTCTCAGAGATTATCTTGCTGGAACCCTTCTATTTTACAAATTACAAGAGGAAGTAGCTTGTTCAGAACGAGAGGAGTTGTAGATACAGAAGGCTGGACATTTGAATGGCGCACGGTGCTGTCCAAAGGCCAAAAATTATTTGGTAGCACTGTTTTCAGGTGACTTCTTGCTCAATTTAAGCATCATCTTTTGTGTGAGAATTTCTCTGACTTTCCTGGCTGTCCCTGGTGGGTTTCTCTCCCTTACTGAACCAAGTAGATGTCAAGGCTTGTGGACACAATGGCCAATGGCGACACAGACTTGATGTGTCTCTTTCATTTTCACCCCCAACATATTAGTCACAAATATTTATATGTCCACCTTTACTATCAGATTATCAGCATTCAAAAAGGGGAAATCCAAATCATTCCCTCTTATCTCCTAGATTCTGGTTTAAAAGCACTCAAGAAATGTCTTGCAATGTTAAATATTGAATGTGGAAAGCTGATTTCCAAAAAAAAAAAAAGGCCAAAACAGTTGCCCTTGAAAGCTTAAAGGTGAAAATACACTTTAATGTGACAAGTCAGGATGAGAGATCCACCCATTACTGCTTGGTTTTATGAAACTTTTTAGTTTTATGGATATACTGAAGAGTAACGTTGCCTTCCTAAGTCTCTGAGAAAATGTCACTTCTAAAAATCATCAATATTGTACAGCCAGTCAGTCTGGAAATTCCTTTGGGTGTAGGCATAGTCACACGCAGTTGTGAAGGAAGTTTGACACAGCCTTTATGCAACAAATAAGTGGAAAGGGATTTTGGAAACTTTGTTCTAATGAAGTAATTTTAATACTGGAAAGTGAAGATCTAGAGAATTGAATCATCACTTGCTGAGTGTCATATTTTGACTTAGTGAGATTCAAGAACAAACCTGAATCATGTATCTGCAAGTTTCATTTCCCAAAATTCAGTTACATATTAAATGCTATGAAGTAAAAGCAAATTTGTATCTAAAACAAGGAATGTCACTAGATTCACATATTAGGAGTACATTTACAGGGGCAGCTTTGCTTAGCAGAAAATATCAAAATAGATCCCAGCAATCTGTGCTTTAATAATTTTCTTTCAGAGGATACAAAATAAAGTTTGATAATCACTGGCTTCAGGATTTTTGAAACTCAGACTAAAGTTTGAAGTCTGGCCTGACACCAACTATTTAATCTTAAGAAAGTTATTTTACTTCTTTGAATGCCTGGGTTATTTATTTTTGCTTTGTTTAGATCTTCTATCAAGTGTGCATAACTTCATTTTCTGCAACTACTTCATTTGTTTTTGAGATGAATAAATGAGTTGATAACGATTTCACTAGAGATGAGACTACATTTATTACTGGGTATATTTCTGCTAGAAAACTCCACACTTATTAGACCAATAGGTTCTAAATTTTGTTCATTGTTATCTTATTTATCCTATTTCCTGGCACACCACAAGTGCCAAAACATTTGTTTGTTGAATGAATGTATAATATAATGGTTATAAATCAATCTATACTTCCTGGTATATGGCAAAGAATATCATGATTTCCATGTTCTCTGCCTTGTGAATAAATATGAGAGCCACTATACAGCAATGCATTATCAAAAAAAAAAAAAAAGATCTTCAAGATGGAAAAAGAATTTGATATATCAATTCAGTAAGATGCTCTTTGATAACTTGTATACTTCTGGCATTGGTAGTAAAAACAGGTACCATAATAATTTTTTTTTAATTTAGCACTTTACAATTTACCAAATAATAAACATTTACCATCTGATTTATAATTCTATAAGGAAAGTATTGTCTAATTTCTATTGTATCTTTAGTGAGACTGAGATTCAAAAATTTATTCAAGATTATTGCCTGTGAAAGAAACAGTGAAGAGAGAACAAAATAGGAAGAGAAAATCTCAAACAGCCATATAGGTCTGACCCCTGGGAAGGAAAGAAAAAGAATTACAGAGAAGAGACTCAGAAATACACACCTTATATAATTCTAGCTCTCGGCAGAGAACTCTGATGCAAAGACTGACTGTCGGAAAGCTAGGCTGAGAGAAATGGCCAGGCCTCTCAGGCCTCTCCGCGGCACTTAGGCACTGGCCTGAGGTGAGAAGCCTCCGTGTACCCTGAAGTGACTGACGGGGTGAGGGAATGACACCTCACAGCAGATGCCTTCTTGAAGAGAAATCTAAGTGCTGTATTACCATGATGCCTAAGGTGGGGGAAACTTCTGTTTGAAATTAGGAATTGATTGTAGCACCAAAAAGAAGCAGGACAATTTCTTGAGGTCTTGTGATGTTCCAACTACAGTACTGCCCTCTCTTTCTGCTCATCTTCTAGCTTATGTCAAAAATCTCTCTTGAGCTCATGTTCTTATGTTAACAGTCCACTGTAATTATCTGACTGTTCCACCAAACTTCATGCCCCTTGATTGCAGAGCTATATTATTGTTGTACATTAAGCTTTATTTATCTCAGAGCATGGTCAATATTTCCTCACCCATCACCTGAATAAAACAGATGAAAAGGGGGAGGAAGGCAGGAGCAAATAATGAAATTCCTACACATGAAAATTCAGGTGATTAGAATTTACTATGATGATAGACTAGAGCCCGGGATTATGTTAGTGTTATTCCCCAAGTCAGTTAATTTTTCTGTGTGAATACTTCTCAAGAGCCTTTTGAATTCTTGAAGATTATGAAGATTGTAAGGGGTTTTTATTTATTTGGTAATATTCACTATAATATTTAGTAATACAATAAATGCAAAATAAACATGATTATTGATTTATTAATTGAATAAAATTAATAACAATTTTGACGCACTCAGGTATTGCTTAACAAGAATACATTCTGAGAAATGTGTGATCAGGTGACTTTGTACTTGTGCAAACCTCATAACGTACATAAACAAACCCAGATAATTCAGATCAATCACTCAGTGTGAACTCTTGAGACAATCAAGAGACAAGGCAACCATGAAATATCTGAAACTGCTTCCAGTATTAACACAACATACTGATTTATAGTATTCAGTTTTTAGGGTCAGGGATTTAGCTCAGCTGCTGAAGGGCTTAAGAGCTTGCCTGGTAAGCATTGTGAGTTCAAGCCCCAGTACCAAAAAAAAAAAAAAAAAAAAAAAAAAAAAAAAAAGAAGGAGGAGGGGATGGTGAAGGAGAAGGAGAAGACCAGTTTTTAATAACTAGAAGACATACATCTTAAAATAACAAAGTATAATATAGTAACTATATAAACCAGAAACATAGTCACTTCTTATCATTACCAAGTATTATGCTTTATATGATTGTATATACTATACTTTCATACAAGTGGCAGAATAGCATCTTTGTTTATATCAATATCAAGACAGTCTTGGGCTGGGGATTTAGCTCAATGCTTAAGTACCTGCCTAACAAGCTGACAAGCTTGAGGTCATGAATTTGATCTTGTGTACAAAAAAAATCGAAAAAGTCTCATGAGTAACCTTTATGTAATTCTGAAAAACCTCTTCACTAATGAAATTTTTCACTGGAAGAATCTCTGATAGTTACCTAAAAAATGTATGCCAAGGCAAACAGAGATGATCAGAATGATGCAGTGACCACAACACAACTACTCCACATTAATAGTGGGTTGCTAGTGTCATTTTTAATATCAGGTATGAATATATTCCAGGTCTAATCAGGCAATGGATGAGAAATAGAAGAATATCATTGAATTTGAGTGAGACTTTATAAACTAATAATAGTTCTTTCTCTTTGAATAGCTTATTGTCATATTCACAGTGTTTTCATAGTTTATATCAGTGTGAGAATAATCTTGTAAATACTATAGTTTTCTTTTGCAGGTACAGAAACTGGAGCTCAGAGTTAAGAAGTAACTTTTCTGGGGCCATACTTCCTAGATTTATAAATCTGAACATTAACAGAAGACTTGGCTTTAAGTTAGAGCCTTAGAATGGAATTAGGAAAGTGAGACAGTGTAATTATTGATATAGCCAGATATGAAATAAAGGTTTTATAAGCTAACTGTTCAGAAACAATGCATGCTAAAGTAGCTGTGGAACTGTGAATTGCTGAATTTTTACAGACCCATTTTCACTTTTTTTTTTGAGATTTTTTTTATTTAAAGAGAAAGAAAAAAATACATGGAGATAAAAAAGGGTAGAAATAATACAGAATTACAGAAAAATAAACGATAAGAAATTGCCAGTTGATAAGTTACATATTGTCATCTTAGAAATAGCTGTTCAAGTTGCAAAATTAAAGTATGTAAAATGACATTCAAATAGTGACACTGCCAACAGTTCTGATAGTGATCCAACAAAAACTCAGTGATATGGTTATCAGTCCTACACACTTGTTTTGTATCTTAAAGAGGGTAAGATTAAACATACCAAAACAGAACAAAACAGTTTAAAAAAAACAATTTAAAGAAATACAGATTCAAAGCAAGTCCACTGGAGATCT